GAGGGCTGGAACAGCTCTGCTGGGAGGACAGGCTGGGAGAGCTGGGGGGGCTCATCCTGGAGCAGAGAAGGCTCCGGGGTGACCTTCCTGCAGCTGCCAGGGCTTAAAGCGGGCCTGTAAGAAAGATGGGGACAGACTTTTTATCAGGGCCTGTAGCGATAGGACAAGGGCTAATGGTTTTAAACTGAAAAAGGGCAGATTCAGACTAGACATAAGGAACACTTTTTTTCAGAATGAGGGTGGTGAAACCCTGGCCCAGGTTGCCCAGAGAGGTGGTGGGTGCCCCGTCCCTGGAAACATCCCAGGTCAGGTTGGACGGGGCTCTGAGCAACCTGCTCTAGTTGATGTCCCTGCTTACTGCAGGGGGGTTGGACTGGATGACCTTAAAATGTCTCTTCCAACCCAAAGATTTTATGATTCTATGTGTAGATGTTGTCCTTAGGGACATGGTTTAGTAGTGGACTTGATGATCTTAAGGGTGTTTTCCAACCTACATGATTCTATGAATCTATTCTACAGCCAAGCTGATATCCCTGATATGTAAGGCATGTGCAGTTTCTTCTCTACATCTATGTGATGCTGAGTTACTGCTTATTTCTATGATGTTCAGTTGTGTCATTTTGCTTTTCAAAATCTGTCCTGGGATTATTAGATTCCAGCAGAGCTAAAGTGAGGTGGCCACTTCCTTAGAGCATAAACTGAATCCTTTATTGGCTTTGGGAACTGCCTGAGCTTGAAAGAGGCAGTTGTAGCCAAAGTTGATGAAATTGGATGACAGTTTTGTAACATTTTGCCTTTAGCAGGTAGAAGTATGATTCATAGGGTAATGAATCATAGTTCATTCAAGTTAATTGAAGGGGAGATGTTGTGTTAGAATTACTAGAGTGCTTTGATTTATTTCAGCCAGTAATTATGTGGGTTTCTTTTTAACTAGTAAGTAGCATCAACATCATGCTAATAGCTGTTTTTGTTCAGGGATTGGTACTTCTGGGATTTCCAGCTCTGAAACTTAGAGGTAGCTTGCAAAGGAGAAACAAGCTTGCTTTAGTCCTTTCCATCTCCTGCTGGCACTCAAAGTGCACCCGAGTAGTTAGGTTATACGAGTAAGCCTTTTAAAAATAAATAAATAAATAAAAACCTGGTCTCCATACTGGAAGGCTGCCTACTTGAAAACTGTGTGAGGTTTTTTTATATGTATAGTGATGATCACTTGCTGAGAAAGTAAATGTGAAACATTTGGAAGTCAAGCTGTTTAACAAACACTACCAGCCTCTGCCTTGGACTACAGTTAGCACTTGCTTCAGTAGCTCTGTCTCAAGCATTTCTTTGACGATGATGTGTCCCAAATAGTCCATCCACTCCCTGTTCCTTGGCAACCTGTATGGCGGCAGGCACAAGGAGGAGAGCGTGAAACTTGCTTAAAATGGTCGAAGCAGCACTAATATTGAAAGTGAAATTACATGCTTAGTCTGCATGCCTTTTGGTAAGGAATGCAGGTGAGACTGTCCCAGTGCTGTCAAGTTGCGGAATCTTGCATGCCCATCCTAGAGATGGTCTGTTATACTATCATAGGGCAAATGAGTTTTAAGGTCTTCTGAAAAATACACCTTATGTCTGAGCCAATATAGCAGCAAAGTCTACAGTAAATAGGCTTGGAAACATGCTAGTATTTCCCAAGAAAAAAAAAAAGAAAAGAAAGCTTGACCTGATCTCTACTTCTGTGAAGTGAAAATGAACCATTGCCAAATATTCCAGGCTTTCTTTATGCACTGCTAAGATCAGAGGGACATAAAAAGCCTAATTATAAAACTTTTCTCATTCTCCCTTAAAAGGTCCTTATCATGCTGAAATTTTAGTAGAATAAGATGACAATTTGTTTCATATTGCCTCTGTGGTATGTGGTTTTGTTTTCAAGATGATTCTCCTCTGTGGAGGAATTCCTTTTCTCTGGAATCTGTCTGGCCAGATCTCTGGTCGTGCTGGGTTTGGACCAGAATATGAGGTAAGCAGTCTTTAAATTTTAGTGAAAACTTTTGGTCCCTGAACTATACTGTTATAATTCTTATTTTTAAGCTTGCCTTTACTTGAAGAGGGATTTAGCTACATGTACAATATAGTAAAAATAACAGATATTTTCTGGTGAACACAATGACTGGGTGAGTCTGAGAACTGATAAGTGTGTAACGAGGTGGTGGGTTGGGTTTTTGGGGCTTTTTGCTTGGGTGTTGTCTTTTTACTAATCCTAGATGTGATCTTCCTGTACAGTAAAAGGGTAAGAAATTTTAGGCTACTGCTTATGTTGTCCTTGTGCTGTGGATAAGGTATCTGTCCAAATTCTTATCCCAAATCCTTAGTTTTTATTTAGATCTGTTTCATCAGTATATTTTTTTCTTTCTCTAACATAGTAAGCTATTCAGGTGATCAGTAATCTAATCATCACAAACGTGTCATTTCTGTGAATTTATCTAGCTTCATCTTCTAACCATTTTCAGTTAAACCACTGACTTAAAATCCATTTTTAACACCCTGAAAATTAATGTTAGTACAGGTCAGTAAATACCAGGGGGGGTTTTTTGTTGTTTTTTTTTTTTTTAGATTGTTCAGTCATTGGTATTTCTGCTGCTTGCAACACTCTTCAGTGCAGTGACTGGTCTCCCGTGGAGTTTATATAACACATTTGTCATAGAAGAGAAACATGGCTTCAATCAACAGGTATTGTAGATAGCACTTATGCTGACCTAATGTCTTCAGTAGGTTTGGTTGGTTAGATGGACTGGTTTTGGGAACATTTCTACTCAACACTGCATAAAAATAAAAGCAACGACAGTTTGTAACTGTTGCAGAAATACCCATGCAGCACCAGAATGTCTCTACGTGAGCCCATGCCTCTGAGCAAAGACGACTGTGTATTCTAGTAGTGGAACAAGGAATATGTCATACCTTAGATGTTCATTTTTGGATGGACTAGTCTTTGCCCTTCATACGCCCTTGATGAGAAGTCTGGATCACTGCTTGACAGGGACAGTTCTGATTCATGGACACTGAACAGATGAAACAAAACCAAGAAATTACTTTCCTTCTCATTTTGTTTTGCTTATTGATTTCTTGTATCAGCCTTTACTAAATTAGTGAATTCAGCTCCTCATTTGTACATCTGTTAGGTACTCATTTAATATCAGCCCTGGCTTTCTTAATTTCTCTCACGAACTTAGTTTAAACCTGTTTCAGTATCAGTTTCTCATGTGATCAGATTTTCCTTTTGGAGAGGAACCTCAACCTGGGACACATCATTAGTTATTTCACGCTAGAGGATAAAACTTGTTTTCTGCTTTTGGACCCAGCTAATGTTGTCTACAGTACTTTCTGTTCCAGGTCTACTAGGAAGTGTGTTTTTTTTTACAGTAGAATGAAATTTGGATGGGTAGCAGATGTGGGATAAAGCTGTTTGGCTCATTTTAATAAAGGTAGAGATGCTCTGGTATTTGCTAGTTTCATCTTCCAGTTTCTGTGGAGGCAGGAAGACTGAACTAGACCTAAAGAAGTGGAATCTGTTCATTTCTAAATTCATTATGTTCCTGGTAAATTGATAAATTGATGTTTCTTACTCCTTTTTATAAAACAAGTAAGAAAATAAGTGAGGAAAAAAACCCCTCTAAATGCAATGATCCAGTTTGTACCCTCTCTCAATCAACTTTAAAACAGAAGTGTGTAGATCCTGACACATTCTGTATTATTTTGGTTCACGTCATTTATTTAGTGTCGTACTATTTTCTTTCCAGAGAAGGCCAACTATGAAAGTTCTCATTGCACAGTTTTGCCTTGACATCTGTATGTATTCCTGGAAACTGCAAGGCTTGTTTGGTTCTCCCCCTTCCTGCCCTTGATGTTTGGATATTGTGCCCATGGTGGCTCCTGCTCCAGTCTCTGGGAAGCAAATCTGAAGATTGATCTAGTTAGTCATGAGACTTTAGCTTGTGACTAACTCAGAACTCTCTTTATACTCCATTTAGCTCTCTAGTCTTATAAAAAACCCTTGTGCTTCTACACATACAAACATATGTGTAACTTCTAACAATGACTTTTTTCTCTCACCAGTAAGTAAATACTCATTGTCAGAATGATGGTGCCCATGGCCATTCATATCCTAGGTGATTCTGAGCCATAGTCCTGGAGATCCCCTTCCCTTCTGCAGGCTTTACAGTGAGCTAACATCCTGCTGCTATCAAGGGAGGAAGGAATGTTTCCATGTTTCCAGGGCATGAGTCAAGCCGTCTCTTCTTCAGGGAAAAAAGCTGCTTGACATATTTTGTTTGTTCTCTGGCCATCACTTCTGTTTTGTACTCCTCAAAAATAGTAAGGGCTTGCAAAGTGTTTTTTTGAATTTGCAAGAATTCGCCAATTCTTATGATGTGCTTATGCCGTGGCCTAGCCTAGACATCCTTTTGACATTCAGAATCCTAAAATACACATCAAAAGCTATCTGTCACTGTTGTGTCTCATGTCAGTCCTGAGTAGTTGCATCAGGCCTGCACCTTGATTGTCTCTCCTACCTTTATGAGGAGTAAGTTCCATCTTGGTGCCAGATCCCTAAGCCCTTTATGCCCAGGACACAAAAGTCCAAAGGCTGTCAGTATTTGGACTTGTAAAGCACTAGAATTAAACCAAACTGGCAGACTAGCTGATGGATGGAGAGCTTGACTTGATCAGGCCTTAATCAGGCCCTACCTCTGTGCAGAAGAAGCAGAGGGTCAAATACTGAACTTAGCAGCTTGGGCTTCTTTAAAACTGTCTTGAGAGCTTGCAGAATCAATGTTATTTCTTTGTATGCTTTAGGAAGGGTAAGGAGGATACTGGGAATATCCTCCAAACATTTTGTTCTTGGAGCTGTGTTCTCTGGCAGCTTCACTGTTGTCGATGTAACTAATCAAATGGGAAAAGGAAGACTTGGCACTGACACCTGTAGGTGTAGTTAAATGCTTGATTAAGCTACCTGCATGGTGTCTTTTACAAGGTTTTTTTCACTGCAGTGGTCCTCATGCCAAGAACTGAAGGCTGAGTCCAGCTCCAATCCAGTTTGAGGTACCAAATGTCTTAGCAGAGTCAAATCTTAGTCTTTCATTTTAGACTGATGGACTAGGTCCTTCAGTGAATGAGACAAATTCACACCTGGTACTAGCCCAGACTTTGGAATTTCTAGCAATAATTCTCAAATGATCTTCAGATAAACTATCTTCCATGGGAGTGGCTTCCTGAAAATAAGGATTTCTCTTGGAGTCGTATCTGCCTTAGAAAGAAGGAAAGGGGCAGGGCAAAGATGAAAGATACCATGCAATTTTATAGCTCTACTCCTCCTAGATTGTGGAGCTGGAAATAAAGAAAGAGGTGAAATGAAAACTTGAGCTAAATGGATTGTAGTTGACTTGTTTCAGAAAGCCCAGTGGAAACAGTGTGCTGGCAGCATGTTCCTGTTAAGAGTTCGTCTAGGTTATATTAAGTGACTGTTTCTTCAGCTGTTTACTACACTAAAAAATGTAAAAGCTATATAATAGACCTTTTTCTGTCTGATCTGAGGAAGTAATAAAGGAGGAACACATCGTGTATTTTGTTTTCTCTGTCCTGGCTTGTACCAGTTTGAGTTGTGATCAAATGGAAACAATTTTTCTTTTGTCCAGGATGACCCACAGAGTTTCTCTCGTTCTTGTCCATACCATTTTCATTAAAGAAACACTGCTTAGTGTGAACGAGAGCCACAAGTCTTGCTTTTCTAGTTCCAGAACTGTTGTGCTGGAAAAGGTAGCCCACACTACCTGGGAATATTAAAGGCAGTCATGGAGCAGTATCTTCTGGAGCGCTCCATTTGTGTGGGCATGTGTCTATACAATTGTGTTACTGTTGAAACTAATAGTCGCTTAGCAAGAATATATCACCAGAGTGCTTACTGTGTGACCAGAGTGAATATGTCTGCATAACGAATAGTCTAAAATTGTGGGTTTATGTCTGATTTGTGTTTCCGATAGTCCTGGAAGTCTAAGGTGTCTATCCAAATTCTTACCCCAGATCCTTGTTTTTTATTTAAATCTGTTTCACCAGTGTTCTTTTTTCTTTCCAGACGAGTTTCATATTTTTAATGTAGTATGGGCTTTTTAATACAACCTTGTTGGGAAGGATCTTTACATAATAACCCCCTCACTTTATGTCTTCCAGATAGCTGTAAGTACTGAAGTAACAATTCCTGAAAGAGCTAGTTGGGTGTCTGTGTTGCAGTCACTAGATCAGATTCATTCTGATATAGGTCTTTGAAATTTCTATTGTTTCTATTAAAGTTATGCTTTAAAACCTGAGACAGCTACATGAGTAGTAACTGCATGTCAGTGGAAGCTTGGAGTAAAATGCCCAAGATCTATCTAAAAATCTTTAATAGGACTTCTATATATAAATTTCCAGTTAAGACAATTAGCTTAGTAGTAACTGAAAGTTAAGATGAATGGAGGCAACTGTTCAAAGACAAAATATTTTACAGTATGACAAAGTATTTTACATAGTATTTTACTATGTCTCTTCAAGAGTTTCCTATTCTCTAAAAATCCCATAATGTCTAGGGTATAGATTGGTAAACAGATTCAGGGGCAAATAAACTTATATTTTTCTTTCCTTCTTTAACGAAGTATGTATGTAGCACACAAAATAAGGGTTTGGGTCAGATCTTGCTAAGGAAGAGTGCATCTGGATGGGCTTGGAGTCCATGTGGATGTAAAGAGCCACAGCTACTAGGAGAGGAGGTGAAAAGGTTCTTCCACCTTTTCTTAACTGACTCTGATTTCCTTATCACATTGGTATTGCTGTTTTGCCATTTGTCTTACTATGTTTCTGTGCATGCACGGAAGGGATCAATTCATTAACCACTGTGGCATATCAATATTTACATTGAAAATATCACTGATATCCTTTCTTTACAGACGCTGGGATTTTTTTTTAAGGATGCTGTCAAGAAGTTTATCGTGACTCAGTGCATTCTGTTGCCAGTGACATCCCTTCTGCTTTACATTATTAAAATAGGGGGAGACTACTTCTTCATCTATGCCTGGCTCTTCACATTAGTTGTTTCCTTGGTGAGTATGAAAATATGTTTGGGTTTCTTCCAAATGCTAGCTTACTTGCATGGCTCAGTTTGCTGAAGTTTAAAAACATAACAGAAAGGAAATGGAAAAAATCTAAATCTCCTGGGAATTTCAGTGTCTACAAACTTCAACAGTGTGTCTTGCTCTCAGTGTACTTTTTCAGGAATATTAGCTTATATTAATTGTCCATGTGAATGTGAGATCTCAGGTTTTATGTATTTAATACTGGAGTGTCTTCATCAGTTGAAAAATAAACATTCAAAAAGATACTGGAAATACAGCACTATGTGGTGATAGGTTTTCCTTTTTCTTAAATGTAGAAAGGGCACAAGGACAACTGCCAGCAGTTTGGCAAGACAAGGCAGAATGTGCTTTGGTCAGTAATGTTTCCACTGGGCTGTTCTTACAGGTTATCAAACACCAATTCTCAATTGCATTGCTTTGAATTGAGACGAGTAGCAATTTTCCATTTCTGGTTAGACTTCTATAGCTGCTTTTATACACTGAATTGGTAACTGATATTTTTGTTATCATAGGGATTTGATGTTTCCTGTTGTTACTATAAGCTCTGAGGTCTGTATTTTTTCCTCTATTTCAGCATAGTACTCTACTGTCTTTTTGCTTAACTTACTAACCATTGCTCACCCAAGGAAGAAATTACAGAAATACTGTTGTATATATTCATTCATTTTTAGGTTAAAAGAGCACCTTAAATAAAACAATTACTGCATTACAGCAATGTAGTAAAGCCTGCCACGTTAGCCTAACAATAAATTTCAGTCAATCAATCCCGAATTCTTCTGTCAAATTAAGACTTTCTGGTTGAACTGGAGTGTATCATCCAAAAAATTTTTAGGAATTCCTGGGGAGGAAATTATGATTATTTTCTTTCTTAAGCTTCTCTTTCGTGACTTAATGTCGTGGTTTAGCCCCAGCC